GGATACAATCTCGAAATCGATTTATATCATATAAATAAATATATTTTACTTAATAGGAATAATATTATATCATTGAAATGTACTTTATCTGCTTTGACCTTATTTAAATTTCGCTTTTTCACTTCGTTACATATTGCATGGATTTTAAATTGATTTCTGTTATAAATGTGTCGTAATTACACAAATTATGTTAAAGAGAAATACATACGTCGAAAGTATGAAAATTAAAACGTTTGTATGAAAATGATGAACCACGAGCCGTGAAAAATACATATATGTATATATTTTTTAATTGCCTATAATTTTGTAACTTTTCATTCTCCACACTTTTTATTTTCCCAATATATTAAGGACTGCTTGTCATTGTTATATAAGCGATTTTTCACTGCAAGTATCGCTGATTAATTGTGCGTATGTATAAAATATCGTCGATCTTTTTGAATAAAATAAAATAGACGGCTTGATGGGTAAAGTAAATGTGTGACAGTTGGCAACTATGCAAGATCGAGAGTCTCGATCCAACGAGAGAGAAGGAAGTATCACACATCCATCCCATCCACCGTACAGAGCCCCGTTGCATGTCGGGAAACTTGAACATGTACGTACGTCGTAGGAGCGACGTAGAGCGTTGAATGTGTCGATTCCGTTCGGGGTTGGCTTGCACTTTTCGCGGTTATATGTGCGCGCAGCAACGTCGCGTGGTCGGTTATCAAAGTTCGCGAAAGTCTCCTGGCGTATAGTGACTGAGAGTGATAAGAGGCGAGGCGAAAAGGGAAATCTTCTCCTTTTCTTGGGACGCTCGCCAATTTCGGTGGTGCATAGGACTTATCGCGGCGCGTCGTTCTTAACAAACAAGAGTGCCCCGGAGAACCTCGTAAACTTCTTGATGTGCATCTGTGTGCGGTATATACCGTCTGGTCCAATCACGGAATTCGCGGGCTAAGATGCCCGACGTGGCTCCCGTGGACAACGTCGGCATCGAGATCAGGATCAACGAAGCGGTGCACGACGAGTGGAGCGACGCTCGCTCCTGGTTTCCCGCGAACCACATCGCCGATCTAATTTTCATGTATACCCGTGCATATGGGTGAACAATTTTCTGTGTTTTGAAACATCGAACAGTGATTAGAAATTAACTGAATGTTCCCGAAAAAAATAAAATAAAGGATCATTCGTGCGTTACATGCAACCGCCGATGATAACTGCTATTTGTTGTTCAAGATAATCGTGTATGGAAAGAACGATAATTTAGTAGCGTATTATTAATTATTTCATTTAGTTTCATGTGCTCCTAATGAAAATACACATTGTAAAATGTTTATATCTGGTGCAGATGGTGGATCTGTGAAGAGGACATATTAATTACTCAGTAAATATATTCTTTGGAAGATTTAATAGAGACTCGATTGTCTTTTGTATTTACACTACTTAATAATAGTATACATGAAAAAAGTAATTATATTGTGATAGAATGTTCGTTCAGGCTAAGTGAAAAATGAAGCAAATGTAAATGTAAGGTGCCCAAGAGCGTAAGGAAACTGTATAGTCGTTTGACAATTACATGTTCCGTTTGTTTTATACAGTTTTGGACACGAGTATGCATAAACTGATATGCGTTTTAAATGAACCAAAATAATCTGTTAATGCTGGATCTTAAGACTATATTCTGAACAAGAGATCAATTCTCTTGTATTCTTATAGACAAGAATAGCTAACTGTCGATGGTGCTCTTTCTAAACAAAGAAAGTATAAAACATATTTACGTTGAATTTCAATGCTGACCTTGTGAAGGAATAATCTTTTAAAAATGTGTGAACAAACGGAAATTAACTACCTGGACGGGGATGTCGTTTGGGTAAAACTCGGTGCTTGTTGGTGGCCAGGACAAGTTACTGGGTTTGACAATTTACCTGAAGACATTCAACAGGAGTTTAAAAAGAAACCTTTAATCGCTGCTGTAAAATTCTTTCAAGAAGATACATAGTAAGCAATTAAATATGTTACATTAAATTATATTCTTTTATATACATACTATGTACATGTATTTACAATTGATTTAATAGATATTAATGTGGTTAAATTTATAAGCTTGATATATATGTTTTATTCTTTTTTCAGTGAATTCGTCAAGAACTATCAACAGATTTACAAATATAATTGTACCCTTAAAGATGACTTTATCAGAAAAGGATTAGGTATAATTTTACTCAAATATTTATAAATCATAAAATAAGAATTGTTTCTAAAAAAATACATGATTATATATTCTCTGATATATCATTCACAGATAAATATAGAAGTAAAAGCAAAGTTGGATCCAGATACATGGATAAGTTTCCGGGAGATGTGGAAATGGCTGAAAAATTGACAGGAGGCGATCCTGACATATTAAACAGTGATAAATTTTCTCCAGAAGAGAAACCAGATATATCAGCTTTGTTTGGGGAAAAGAAGATTCCTAAAAAGAAACGGGAGCGCGAGGAAAGTCACAGAAAAAGTGATAGTATCGATGTTATACGAAAAATTACGCATCCACGATTTTTAAGAGAGAGTGATCATGAGGTTCGAATTCGTCAGCAACCTAGCAGTTTGTCATCTACACCGACCAGTACTGGTTCTCCAGTTTATCCTTGTCATTTGTGCACCTTTACATCTTCGCGAATCAACGTTATCATTTGTCACATAAAGAGTCATAGATCTGGAAGTGGTTCACCAATTTCAAAATCAAAGGTGAAAACTTATTCCCAATATAAAAGCAGATACTCCGACGACTCTTTGGATACTCCGAAAAGAAAATATGCGAAAAAGGAAAAGAGTCACTCGAGTAAAAGTAAAAGCGGTAGCGAATCCAGTAAAAGGAAACAGGCTAAACAAAGTGAAAAGACGGCTAAAAAGAAAAAAACGTCGGATCCGAAAATTCGTGATACTATATTAGCGGATTGGGAAGATGAATCAGAAGAGGAAATTAGCTTGAATCAGAGCAAAGTTACGGATTCGGAATCAGCGAACGAATCACCGATGAAAGCTCAGTTTAATTTTGACAAATCCGAAGAATCCATTGAGAAGAATAATGCAATGCCAGATGCAAACGAAATCATCGCAGAAACTGAAAAATTACTCAAGGAAACTGAGAAGTTAACTGCAATTGATATAATAGATGATTCTTCATCCGACAGTACTACTACGTCAAAGCATTTTCGATCAAGTCTTTTTGATAAGCAAACGAAATCAGATAAATCTGAGAAAATATCTGATGCTGAAAGTAGTGAATCTACTAACAAATCACCGACCAAGGAAACTCCTAATACTGACAATGAAAGTAAACTTGACACATCTAATGAGGATGTTAAGAAATCACTATTATCTTGTTTCGATTTCCATGAGGAAGAACCATCTATACCTCCGGTAAGGAAAAAAGCACGTGCATTTCATCAGAAAAAAGAGATAATAAAAGAATTCGAATTGAGTCAGAAGATAGAACAGGAAAAGGAAATTGAAAATGATAAATCTGAAGATGAAAGTAACAATATTAGTCTTAAAGAAGATGAAAAATTAGACACGCAATTATCTTCGAGTGAGAAGGGAAAGAATGATGATATTGCGAATGATGATGAACAAATAAAAAATGAAGTTGAACAAGTAAACCAGACGTCTAAATCTGCGAATGTATCAGAAGATGCACAGAAGAAATCCTGTATTACTACTTCTGATACGGAAGTACAGATTGTTGAAATACTTGACGTCGAAAAAGCCGAAACAGATTTGAAAATTATCGAGACTCAAAATGTCGTTGAAACAAATGAAACAGCTGTTAAAGTAAATGCAGTGCCAGATTCTAATAAAGAATTGTTAGAAGATAGAAATTTAAGTGTAAAAAATAATTTTAACGACGACGAACCATTGGAATGTAAGAAAATAAATGTTACTGAGGATACAAAGGACAAAGAACAAAAAACACTAAAGGAGTCAGAAGCTGCATCATCTGAACGATCTACGATAGAAACAGAGGATGAAACTGTATCTGAAACCACTGAAACGCTCCCCGAACAGAGTGAAAATTCAGATGCAGACACATTGGATCAAGATCAAGTGCCTATTTCAAATTCGACCACCGTTTTATTAAACAACAATCAGACGAATGTTGAACCACAAGTTCGTAGGCGTAGAGGTAGACCAAGAAAATCGGAATCTATTCGTACTAGTATCAGCGGAAGTCCCAGTGGTAGCGAAAGTCCACGAACAAAGGAGATCAAGAACAGCCCGAAATTTTTCGACAAATTTGAGATAGAGCATAAAACTTCAGAATCTGATAGTGATCGTTCGCATAGCGGCAGAAAACGAAAACCGAACAAGAAATACTTAGAATCCGATATATATGTGCAGGATGTGGATAAAAAAGTTCATAAGACTGATGAGAGTCAATCTGAGACCGAAGAGAAAGAAATAACAAGAAATAAATCAAAAAGAATAAAAAGATCTATAAAGCCTGATAAAGATATTACCGAGAAAGTTGATCTTAAAGAAGAAAAAGAAGTAGAAATTTCCTGCGGCTTAGTAGATACAACAGGAAATGATGTGAAATCTTCAAATATAGAATTAAAGAATGATTTTCTTGAAGATAGTACGACAAACCAAATGTCCGTTGAGTTGAATGAACTTAATGATAATCAAACTCCTACTGGAAGTTCCAAGCAATTGGAAACATCAAGCGAGGAAAAAATATTCTTGACACAATCTGATGAGAAGAAAATTGACTTTAATGATGCTAAATCTGTAACAGTAGAAGATATGAATTTTGAACAAGAGAAAGCTACGGATAATGATAGTGAAAATATATCTGGGAATTTGCAACAAGAAGATTTAAAACAAGATTTAAAAGACTCTGATACAGAATCCCTCAGTGCACAAGTAGAACTTACATCTGAGAAAGAAATATCTCAACAACTAGACACCTTAAAAGCTGTAGATATGCTTCCCCCTAAAAAATCTCAAATAAAGAAGTTCGAATTAGCGCAACTGGATTTTCTTGATACAGATGTCTCTACAAGCAAACTTGTAGATTCTGATGCAGATAACAAACAAGACAAATTGAAAAATATTAATACGGAAAAGATTGAAAGTAAAGCAGATTCTGAATTCTCTGATCCCTTAAAACAAGAACAAACTTTAATTCCAGATCAAGTAGAAGTAGAGGTTAAAACTGTAGAGAACGTAGAAGTTCCAAAGCAAGAGAAGGAAGAAAATAAATTGCCGGATGCTGATATAAATGCGGCAGTTAGTCAAGATTTAAAGAAAACGGAAACAAAAACATCGAAAAAAGAAGAACTTAAATTAATTAAATCGGAGAAGATGGAAAAAATAACCAAAGAACCAATAATTGTATCGAACGATCAACAGGTTCCAAAAGAACAGAAAAAGACATCCTTACAAACGAAACATAAGAGCAAATTCATACCAGATATTAGTAGTAAATCAAAGAAAGCTAAAGGATTATTTCCTGATGAAGAATCAACAAATACATTCCAAGAAGCTTTCTTAAAAACTTTACATATAGATAAGAAGCCTGGAGCAACTGATGATTCTGACAATGCTGAAAAAGGAAAGAAGGTTAAGAAAATTGCGAAGAAGAAACCAGAAGAGGAAGATACACATCTCTCTCGTGAAACACCTAAAAAAAGTGAGGATTCAAATATTCCAGTAGATTTTACTGATCTGTCTCAAAATAATAATTCTCAAATTACAGTTGTGAGTACTTTTGAGGGCATGGCAGTAGTCGTTGACCAAAATCTTCAAATTGAGGCGAAACCTGATGATCCTGTGGTTCAAAGTGTGGAACAACTTCCATCGAAATCACTAGTGCAACCGTCTGTTATTGAAGACAACTTTAAATCTATTGCTTCAGATGCACAGAAGATGGATGATTCTTCAAGACGATCAACTTCTACGCCATCACCGTCATCTGATGTTGCTGTACCGGTAAAAAAGCGTGAAATGCCAAGAATAATCGAAAATGTAATACTAACTGAACCGATGCAAATTTTGAAATCTAAGTTACTAGACAAATTGCCTCAGAAGAGTGTGAAACATAAGTTAGAAGCGGAAACGACAAAAAAATCAGATCAAAAAGGTAGTCCAAAACCAAAGATAATGAAGATCGAGTCCATGTCTCCTAACATCAAAATAAAAAGTAGTTCAAAGGTTACAACTTCTCATTTGAGCTTGACTAAGAAGTTACAAGTCCTAAAAGCCGAAGAAGCGGAAACAGCTGCAATGATAGAAGCACAAAACGAGCAATTAGGTGTGAAAACGTCAAAAAGTTCCGCTACGACGACCGCAGGTGGGAAATTTATTCAACAAAGTTCGCAAAGCCTAGCGGATATGGAGTTAGATATAAATTCTATGCCGTTTGTCTTGAGCGATGACGTTTTAACTCCCGAAAGTATCGAACAAATGCCCGTGGTTATATCATCTATTATACCACCATCTAACACGATTCCGACAACATTGTCCTTTACACCTACAACGCAGATTGTATCACCTACTCAAACTCAATTCACACTAAACGAAAGTACAAGCGAGCTATCGCCTACGAAGAAGAAAAGCGGGACCCCTGCAATTTTGAAAAATAAAGCTAAAGCAAAGCCTACGATTACTAGCATGAAAACATTGGTACCGCCACTTACAGGCGGCGTGAAAGGTATAAAATTCCAAAGTACGCCGACAACGAGCAAAGTATCGCCGCTTTTAATGCAGAAAAGTACAACAGGAAAGTATGTGGTTGTACAAACTTCTAGTGGACAGCAGTTGCGTTACAGTGTTCAAGGTAAAACAGGTACACAACAAAAGATTGCCATCCCATCTAGTAAAGGTACTGGAAACGCGCAAGTAGTTCATCAGGGTGGCAAAGTAGTTATATTAACATCGGCGCAGTCAGGACAAACCAAAATGTTACCTTTGAATATATCCAAACAATTAAGTGGAAAAGCAGTTCAAAGATTTATGACGAGTAAGGGTCCAGTATTATGTCCTATTAGCCCTCAGGGCCTAATAAATTCGAAAACAGTCATTGCACCGAAAGGTGATGGTTCTTCGCCGACAACCTCCAAACTACCTGCAGGACACAAAATAATTAGCACACAAGGTATAATCACTTCGAAAGGTGTTTTAACTCCAATCTCGGGAACAATTGGGAAGACAGCACTGTTAGGAACATTGTCTCAAGGAATTCTTACGAAGGGTGGAATTTATACACCAATCAGCACTTCCACGTTAAGCGGAAAAACCATCCTTGGATCAAAAACTCTTGTTACGAAGGGTGCAACAATATTATCTCCACAGAATTTGGGTGCCTCCAAAGCTATTTTGACTCCCATATCTCAAGCTATCGCCGGGAAAACGATTTTAACCACTCAAGGTATCGTGAGTACCAAGGGTACCGTTTTGACACCGATAACAGGGCAACAGGTGAAAGCCATCGCAGCAAAGAGTCCATCTAAAAAGGTGCAATATCAATCTGTACAACAAAAAGTGCAGCTGCCTATGTTACAGAAGTCGCAGAAGATTCCAATGTCTGCTACCACGCAAGGAAAATCCGGACAAATTAAAACCACTAGTACAGTGGTATTACAAAATACTGTTCCTACACAAAAAATTATACATGGGAAGAATGTTATTAAGCAAACAATTATACAAGGTTCTCCTCTTCAAAGTATCGTGTCCCAAGCCAATATACAGCAAACAGCAGGCACTAGTCCACAAGTTCAACAGAAAGGAATGGTCGTGTCTTCGTCATCGGTACAAAAGCTCATTGTGCCACGTTCCGCTCGGCAACAAAAAGCGCAACAGAAAATTGTTGTCCAGAAAGTACAAGAACCTGCAATTACGACTGTCCAAAGTGTCCAATCGAAACAAACCGTATCAGTACCAATGACTAGTGTATCTAAAGCAACGGTTCAACAAAAGCAAACACCTAGTACCGCAACAAAAGTCACCACAAAGAGCCACGTGATGGGTAAGACTGCTGTGCAGCAACAGAAGAATTTCTTAAATATTGGGATGAACTCTGTGACTGCAGCTAACGTGAGTACAAATATTCCTACAACTTTGTCTCTACCACCTTTGGAACCTATCGAGTCTGAAAAGAAACCGAAAGTGGAAAATGTATTTGCTGAATCTGTCCAAAAGGAGCAACAGCCCAAGGCAGAAAAGTCCACCGTCGACAGCGGTGGTGAAGCAGACAAGATAGAAGAACCAAAAGTAGCGACACAGCCACAGATAATGGCGTTGCCGACGGAAAGTAGCGATGGAACGCAGACCTACGTTTTAGTAACTATCGACGAACACGGACAAATACAACCTCTCGATAGCAATACACTTATGTCGTTGGAAGGTACCACACAAAATCCCGATGGTACAAGAACTCTGTATATAGATCCCAGTTCGTTAGGAGAAGCTGGCACGTTAGACAATATCGTTCTTCAATTTGACAATGGTGTATTGCCTCAAACCAGTGCTACAGAAACGACACAAACAATAATATCAGAAAGTTTTCCTACCTCGGAAGTGATACAGACATCGAATCAAGATATTTTAGCAGCCGCGTTAGCGAATACAGATTTCCAACAAGAAATTAGTCTAACAGAAAATCCTACTGGAAGCAGCCTGATGCCAGTAACCACTGGTTTGACTCAGACAAGCTTGATCAATCAGACTATCTTACAATCGACTATCATACCACCTACAGAACCAATATCATCTCCCTCAGTGCTCGAAACTTCGTTAACTTTGAATCAGCCTATAATGACACCTTTAGAGGTACCCAGCAATTTACCAATACAATCGGAATCGACCTCAACATCCGCTGTGGCGACTATTCCATCATCTCTTGAGTTACCAATAACGATCACGAATCCGAGTATCTCGTACATTTCAACGGGGGAAACGCAAATTCAGATTCCTGGTAATTCCATGCCAGATATCGGAGAAATTATGGAGACCCCGACTACAGTGACAGAAATCGCACGAACAGAAATTCCTCCGAGTACTCAGTACTTGGTATTGCCGAATTTAGAAGAAAATATCACCGCGGAAACTTCGAGCGTGCAGACCGATGCCATTTCAATGCCTAGCGTTTCGTATTCAGTTTCGATACCAAACAACATTGTGTTAGAAGGCTCACAAGTTCAAACCACGCCTTCGATGCCTATAATAGACGACACGTATACCGAGAACATGCAATTCGGCTCTACGATGGAATCATCGATGACAACGGAAGAAACATTCACGAATGTTCCCGTTTCCGAGATGATTGTTTCGAAATCTACTGCTCCTACAGACAATACAAAATCGGAAAATATTACCGTAACATCAGAGATCGTAGAATCTCATGACGTTCCTGCACCTTCACAAGAACCGATTATATCAACAAACGAATCATCGATCTTGAACGAAGAAGAGGATGTAGCAATGGAAGAAGTGTATTCTTCGCAGGTTTCTGATAAGTCAGACGTTGTGACTTTCGACCAAGCACATAGTAAAGAGGAGACAAAAGTTAGCGAAAACGAAGAAGCTAGTAATAATAATGATACAGTACGTACACAAATTGCGGAGCAGCCAGATGATGCAATGACGAGTAATATGTTGATAATTGATGAAAATGCTTTAGTTAGTTCTAAGTCAAATGTGAACGTGTCTGAAGAACATGCAAACTTTGAAGTCACGAATTCGAACGAAGTAGACGCGAATAGTTCACAAGAATCGAAGACTACTGAGAAGTGTGAAAAAACACCTTTCGATGACCCGTCTGACAAAATTCACTCGCCTGTGTCCGAAGAACAGCCAGCAACATCAAACGAGGTAGAAGCTGCTCAAGGGGGATCACCCATTTTACCTACAGAATCACTGAATCGCGTGGAGGATCAGAGTATGGACATAGACGAGACTATCGAGTCGAAAATTTACGGTACACGCGGTCTGAAGAAGATGGATGATTCTCAAAGAGATGAGCCCTCGTCTCAAGGAGAATCAAACCTGGTTGAAAAAAATCTGAAGTTACATTATGACGAAGCCAGCGCAGAGGCTGGTCATGAAACACCATCGCAATCGTATGAACAGTTTGGAATAAGGATGTCTACCGATTCTACTGATTTACCTAGTCAATCTGCTACGAAATCCGAAAATTCACGAGAACCTTCTCAATCGATAACTTACGAACCTATGGATGTAGACGAGGAGGCTACCGCGACGGAACCGCCGACCCAATCGTTCGAACACTCGGAGATAAATGAAGCTTCTCAATCCTACGAGAATTCTGCGGAGGAAGGTACAAATACACCTACTCAATCCTATAACGAACTGATGCAAGGCCAAGAGGAAAAATCAGCTATCGACGAGGCGATCGATGATCAGACGTTTCCAACGCAGAGCTACGAGGTCGGTAAGCCGGAGAATATCCAAGAAAATTTAGAAATTGACGCCGAGATCAGTCAGGAGGGCAACATGCCGTCTCAGTCTAACGACATTGGTACCGATGGTATTGGTACATCTTCGGTTTCTACGAATAACTCCGGACTTAACGAAGACGAAACTGCAAGTTCGTCTTATGTTCCAGAAACTCCCGAGAATCAAGAAAGGGATCCCGATCAGGAAAGTGCAATAAGTACGTCGTCTTGCGAGATTCCGCCGTGCGCTGAATTGAATATCGCATCGTCCAGCGCGGAGCACACTAGTATCCATGACAATGGAGTACCTGAAATACCTACGTCGTCGTATAATTTGAATCCGGACATCACGTCGACTCATGTAGATTCCGTGCCGACCTCCAGTTACGAAGAACAAAACGTGTCAACTTCGTACGAGGTGCCGATCTCCATGCCTGGCCTAGAGGAGAATCCATCCCAGAATTTTGTTACAGAGAGCACGGATCATAGAAACGAACCATCCAGTTATTACGCGCATCACCAGGAAGTGACTGCGAGTTATTACGAATCCGTTGGGCAAGAGACAAATTCAAGACTGGATGGAGATCCACAGGAGGAAGTTACTCCCAGTTATTACGATGGTAACCCGCAGGAAGCGAGCCAAAGTTACTTTGCTCCAGAGGAAGCTACGCCGAGTTACTCCAGCCACAATGTCTCGCCAAGTTACTATGACCATAGACCAGAAAGTGAGGCGAGTCAGAGTTATTACTCCGCGGACGACATAGACAAATCGGAGCAATCTTCCTCGCAGAATATCGAGGCGTCGCAGAGTTTCTATCAGGAACAATCCGACGAATTGAAATTGACGCAACAAGGAGAAGCCACGCCAACATACACGGAAAGGTATCCAGTTGATTATACGTTGGAAAATTCACCGATAGAGAGGCACGATCTTGTAGAAAGTTCTGTACCAGCCACCAGGCCTACAGAGAGGTAATATATTCTACCGGGGAATAGCATTTCGCTATAAAAAATTTTTAAAAAGTCCTTGTATGCGCGAATTGATGGACGCGACAGCCATTGGTAGATAAACGTAAGTCTATTTTCAATTGTACATATAATGTTAAGATAATAAATAATTAGACATAAGATTAAAGTTAGATTCTTACAGTAATTTATATATATATATATATATATATGTTCAAATGCGTCGTATACATAAATATACACGTATTGTTACTACATATGTGTGTATATATGCATATACCCACATCAACAACGGATATAATCCGTAATAGAATTTGGTATTTAAGCATTGCAATTACAAAGGAAAATTATGGTTAAAGACATTATGATTTCGTGCATGTCGTCTTGTTTAATTCATTGACATCTGAACATATTAAATTAGATTATCATCCACTACTTTCTTCTTTCTTTATTTCAGCTGCATATATTAATATATCTGCATACAATTTTGTTATACAGAAAATTCATTATACTTTTTCTTTTAATGTAATAGAAAATAATTATTACAAAGTTTTGCAAGAAGTCAGTGGAGTAGTAGTATCAAGTTGTAATTCGTAATACTTCTTTTTCTACGATAGGCAGCAAGAGTATTTGTGTGCTATCAGCAGTTTGTTTAGCATGTACATTATGCGGTCATAAAATAGAGTGTTTATATCTTATCGTTGATTTTTGATCAAAATAAGACACATGAAATATATGTGACTTCACTACTACTCCGTAGTACCGATTTGTAATGAGAGATCTCTTCTCCGACATGAGAAAATATGTGCTTGGATAATTGTATAAATGCACAATGTATCTTCATTAAATTATCGAGAATGTACGTACTCAGCTTATTTGATGACATCAAACAGAGACTTTCTTGAGAATTATCTTTGAAGACCTACTTTTGTTCAAACAAATTCTCATCCGTAACCACTCGTAGATTATTTGTTACGAGAAAAGTCATCGTGTAATAATTGTATAGATAATTGGATATATCAAATACGGATGAACTGAGTCATCAAAGTACATTGTTTATTTCCAGATGAATAATTTAAAAATAAATGAGTCGATTATTTCACTTATAATAACGTGTAATCTGTGTGTTGAAGAAATGTAAAGAATAAATGAAGTTAATAGCAGATCTGTCTTGTTTGAAACACATCAAAAAATTTAAATTGAAAATGAATTGAATAAATTAGTGAGGATACACAATTCATTGTAAATGAAATTATTTTACTTGTGTAAAGTAGCCAAATCAGTCTAAATATCACGTATCCTACACATAAATAAATTGTATATACCTATGCATACGTATATTGAATGCATTAGACACATACATTTTTATACTTTTATTTAATTTGGATTAGAATAATTCGTTTTGCTAATTGATTAAAAAGGTTTTATAAAACTTTCAAAGAAGACAGATTTGCCAACGTATTCTAATAAGAACGAATATATTATATATTCTTTATAAGCTGATGTTATTAAAAATAAATTTGTTTTTATTTCTTGAAGCGTTTTCAATCATGATTGCGCATGTATATATTATGTTATTGTTGCGAAGAGAAAATTATCAACTACCATACGTCGTGCTTGAATTGACAAAACTTTAGCCAGATGAGGTTTAAAATATTGTCGGGACTGAAATGTTAATATCCTTTAATCGCTGTTTCAATCTACATATACATACATAAATACATGTGTACATAGATCCTCCACTGGAGACGATATTATAAAGATTTCTGTACCTATAAATAGTATATAACTGTGAAATGAGGAAAATATATAATTACATTTTTTAGCGAAAACTTTCTAATACAATCGTAAGTTGGGATATATATTGCTTCATCGAAGTAATCGAATTTAAATGGCATAAAGTGATACCGATTAAAATTAGCGTTACTGGCGTTCTCATATGGATAACAATTTGATATTTTTCATCACTAACAATATTACCTTTTTATTTCTACAGTGTGCACTACATACACGATTGTAACTAAGAGATAAAAATAAATATATAAATATTTACGTAACAAATTATATGATATATTTTCGTTGTTTTATTATTTATCCCATATTAAATCTGTTAATGCGTTTTATGAGTTACTCATGAATAGTGAATGCTCAAGTTCAGACAAAAAAATACAATCATATTTACCATTACTTTTATCAAAGGTTTATTACTTAAAATAATCCCAAAATACAATAAATTATATTACATTTATAGATGCGTGATCGTATTATATACAGTCTAATAGCATTTGTAACAGTAATTAGAAAGGAACACAGTCTTTACAATCACCAATCTTTCTTTCTCGATTGAGTTGGTTTTATTTACGCCAGTATTGTGCGAACTTGTGTAATTGTTCCACTAATACTGCCATGACGGCTGTTACTGATAAGTCCAAAAGATTATGTACATAATGAACCGCTTCTTCGTCGCTCAAATCTAAGCGCAGTTTGTCTTGTACTTTTTTAACGGCTTTATCTGGTTCCAGCGCGATGTCTGGCACGCTGGCATCGACCATTAACGAGAATAAATTTAGTATCAAATTTGCGTGCCTTCGTAAATGCAGGAACGCAGTGTAACACTGTTTTCGAAATTCATGATAATGTTCCGAGCCTACACCTCCCATAGCTTCGACCATTTCTTTACTCAATTTCATTGGTGGTGGCAAAGGTTTTGGATCCCTGCCCAAAATATAACCGAAATCTATATGAAAGAGTTTACCTGAAACAATAGTGTTATTTATCGTTATTAAATCTGCTTATGGAGGTAACTAGACTTATAGAAGAAATTACCTGATGTTGTTAATAATAAATTATCTAAATGTCGGTCACCAACACCAAGTACATATGTTATGATACAGTAGCCAGCTGAAATTATAATATTTTATATAAACGTTCTAGTCAATATATACATCATTTTCTGGAGGTATATTTCTTACCACAACTTCGAACATACGTATCCATAACTTCTGGCGAAACACCGTAAGGACCATTTTCAGACGGATGATGTTTTCGGAAAAAACTTAGTATGGAACCTTCACTGGCTAGAACTTCCGCAACTGTTGTAGATTCAATAAATTGCAAAAAACCGTGCCTAGTACTTGTCGCCTGTACCCTATATTACAAATAATTTATGTTTTGAATAACATACTATTTATCGAAGAATTGTTAAACGTTTACCTGTAAGGAGTAAGTTTTAAATCTAAATTTTCTCTTCTTAATAATTTATCCATGAGTGCGATCGTTTGTAAAATCAATTGATCTTGTCTGAGGTCATCACCGTGTTTGAATATAGCAATATATTCGCTATTGTCTATCGTTAAAAATGTTAATTTAGATGGCATAAGAGCAGATTTAAAAAGACTGGCCCTAAAAAATGACTTAAATTAATGCCGTATAAAATTTATGTTTATGATAAAAAAAAATTATTCATACTTTTCCGGAATAATTCCTTTGATACAAATTTCTGGATCTAATGGAAATGGTATTGGTTCAAAGTTGGAAAAATTAATTTTGAACGCTGGGTCTGGCTCTGTCAATAACGTCCGAAGACGGTCGGTTTTCTTTTTCCGATTCCCGCTTTCTCGTGCGACTACTTTCACCAATGCTACTAACTGATCAATGAACATCTTTTGGCGCTTGAGAAACGCTCTTCTTTTTTGCCAAACGGCATTTCCCTGTGCCAGCATCGTCGAGAACATTAACATCACAGTATTGTACATTTCTTTGACACGCGTGTCCTGTTTCGCGCTTATAGACGGATCGCTTTGATCTTCGCATTCAATCGAAAGATACCAGTAAAAATAGTTGGCTAATGTCGTATTCTGACATGCACGGGTAATAAGAAAAGAAGTTAGATCCATGAGAGAATTTTGTCCTTGTGTGAACTGTCCGCTTTCCGACTCACTGGACTGAAAATCATATGTACTGTTTGTAATAAATCAGAAAGACATTTACATTATGAAATTACTTACAGTTGTTACAGCTATAGATGAGGAGTCGTTGATCTGTATGTCCTTTTCTAATTTTTCCACTTTTTCTGTCTCTTTTTCTTTCATTAATATTTGATACGCTTTTTTGATACTCTCAAAATTCTCATATTTTAAAGCTTGTACCAATTGTAACAGGTACAACATTAAGTCATCGTCTGGCGCTTGATTTAATCGAGCGATAGCGTATCTTCTCACGGCTGGATGCGTAAACGCAGGACCGAGTAGCTCCAATGCGTCTTCGGGATCTGGTGGTGCCCATAACGCTAACATTTCCAGCGCTTGTCGTTCTTCACCGGCAACTTTCCAATTTACACATTTTACAAATTTCGTCAAAGCTTTCTTCTGATTTGATAAATAAAACCTATATTTCCAAATAAGGTCTTGTTCTTCTGTAGAGAGAGCCGTCGTTGGTGGATAACTTAAGATTATATTTAGAGCGTCGCGGACATTCGAAGTTGGCTTTAACTCTCGGGTATGACCGCCGCTACGTAAACTACGAGCCAATTTATGATGTTTCGCTTCTACAAGATTTTCCTGAAAATGAGAATGTGCTCTCATTTCTTATTTAGCTGAAAAACATTTTTAAGAGCTTTTTTAACATACTTGTAAAATTTCATAATCTGGTAAAGTCACAACATCTGGTTGTGATCTGTGTTGAACAACTTCGTCTCCATCTTTTTCATAATATACTATGGAATACTGGAGAAATAACATGTACGAAACCATTTTTAAAGTACACTTTGTCTATAATATTAAACAGTAAATATGTTAAGTTATAATTATTTTTACCAATATGCCATCCATAGTTACTTCTGGAAACTCAATCATTAAGTACAAGTATTCAGATGCCCTTTTCTCCCTCTCATTAATTAATTCAATCTCTCGGAATGTTAATCTATCCAACCAATCAACTTTATTCATTTGCCCATTCCTGTGTTTCTTAACAAGCTTTGCTAATCTTTGCATTTGTTCTTTTCCATGATCTCTAGTTTTTCCTGGTGTACTACTTTGAATACTTCCATCCGCTTCTACCCCAGGCCACACTCTGAGGTCTAACATTCCTTGACGGAACACTCCATGCTTTCCAAATAAAGATATTGTTGTTCCACCAACTGGTAGTTGTCTACCAGGCCCAGCACAATCATATAAGCTTATGCATAATTGAGCATCCCGCGGTAGATCAGAATAAGAAATAGGAAGAGTTACCCATTGATTCCAACTGCAAAAATTAATCAAACTTAGATGTCTGTATCAGGAGTTATAACATATTGAAAGTACATACTTCCAACGTGACGTAAAATGTTTGTAAGCCGTATGCACAGGCAAGGCCAGTGGTCTTCCACCTGCCCATACTTGTAAGGAAGCTGATAAATCCCCACAGCCTCCGTTGATACCGTATAATCCAGAATATTTTAGCATTGGGTCAATAAGTAATTTATCATATTCTGGTCTTTGTCTTTTACCATCTAATGTTCCTCTACAAAACATATGATGTTACAATCATTTACATTGATAGAACAACATAATTTACAATTAGGTCATTACTTTCACTGCCTTTATAATTTAGTATTTAATAGTATTGTCAGTGATTCAATTATATCTACAGGAAAAACACATGCTGAAACATTTATTATGGTAATATGACACCAGCTGACACTGATAATGACACCTATAACTAACACAGTAAAAGTGAAATCTTACATTTTAATTTGTATTCTTGTGTCTAATGAACAACTGTATACGTAAAAAAATTTGTCGTTGATGTCCTCCATGATTATTTTAACAGATTTAGAGACTCAGTGCATTTCTCTGTTTTACATTTCCCGTCATTCTGTTGCACCTATCCGTGGGTAAATACATTACTGTACATGACACCTAGTTTAGATTTGTGCAGACTGGAGCGACTGGAGTACACCGTGAGAAGGGTTAGCTTTTATACGAGATTCGCATATACGTAATACGTATATAGGGTGTCCCCAGATTAAACGATCAAACTGCAATATTATAGTTGCCTAAGTTGCCAGAGAAAGGCCCTACCCCTACCCCTACCTTTCTCTCTACCAACAAATTGGCTCGATTCCCGTCTGGCAAACCTCCGCAGCTCCGCAGAGAAAGAGCACGCGACGTCACATTACTATTACCCCTACTATCTCGCTACTAGGTTGATTCAATCAACTTGATTGTCACGTGGTGTCTGTACTTATTCTTGTTTATAATTAGTTTCGAGCGTTGCGCGCAGAAATTGAATCTATCACCGTAAGTGTCACGGTAATCCGACTTTCTATGTATGAACAAAGATTTCTTCTCTGTAGTGCGAGCAGTATAGAAAAAAATTGTACATTTTTTAAGGAGTGCTTCTCGAAGGATATGGAATGGGAAGGAGGAATAAAGAATGTACACCATTCCATCCGTCGCTCACGAATTTATTCTTTCGTTGATTTGTACATGCGAGTATACAAAAATTGTGCATCTTTACGAAGTCATTTACAGATTATTTTACTCGGAATCGATTCCACCAAACAAAGCGCGAAACTATTCGCATACTCGCATTTTTCCAGTCGATGATGTACGGACGTTCGTCATCAGATCTCACCTGTTTCGATGAATCACGTTAAATCCATATCACGTGCCGACTAACCGAAAGAATCTACAAACAGTGTTGAATAACTGAATAATTAATTACGAGAAATAATAATCTAGTTAGAGTTTGTTAGCTGGTCTTCTTTCCTTGGCTCCTTCGTTAGTACGTATTTCTCCTGATTGAAAATAATTTTGTAACTGTCCAACGCTTGGTCATATGCTTTCTCCTTCGTGAGACCTCCCTATCAATTGAAAAAATTAATTCATTCATCTATTATGAATTGTTGAATTGGAAAAAGATTACCTGTATCAAACTGTTGTACACCGTCAAAAATATTTGTGTGTGGCTTACTTTGTTACTTTTCAGATTCACTGCGGGTAGAGCGATTTCCTTGTGGAGCTTCCTATCCAAAATGATTTAATAGCATTGATTAATCAAATCTATTATTATGTTTCTAGTTACAGAAGTCAATGCTGTCAGGGGTTAAGCGTCTTTTAATAGGAGTCCATCAGTCGTCGATTATTTATATTATATTCATCAGACGTCAGTCCTTGAGAAAAGCCGAATACGTTCTCGAATCGTGACTATGGTAACGGTTTAAAATATAAATCTTACGCTCGGATTTCATCTTCTTCATACAAAATGCGTTGAATCTCTTTGGGTGGAGGTCTCCTGCTGTATCTCGGCTCTAACGTGGGAGGGAAGGCTTTGTAAACGTCGTACCATATTGGAGTATTCTCTTCTTTCATTGCTCCTGTACGCAGCAGCGCCGTTACTCTGAAATTTTGTTTCACATGTTTTCATGCGATTTTGAGTATGAAAAAAGTAATCATTCAGAAAGGATAACACGGAATAATTGACGTTGTGTTTTATTCAATTTCCTCAACGTTTACTGTACTTGAATGTATGGCGATGACGATAAGTCACGAGATGAATAAACGATGAAATACGAGTTTACATATTCAACGATGTGGGTACGTCCATTCATCTCGCGTTTATTGTTCGATTGTTGTAGGGGAATCATTGAAAATGAGCAGAGTTAAAACGTTCTTAACGTAGACCTAACCTAACGGTTGATCAGCACGCGTTCGGTCAGAATCATTCGCGACGAGCTTATTCCGAATGACAAAACGAATTAGTCATTGTATATCATCTACCTCGTGTAAATCGTTCCAATTCGATCCAATTTACTGCTAGCCATTTTTTCGCATTCATATATCGACGAATAGACAATTTCTTTAAATGAAAATGATCGAGTTTTGACTCTTTTGACGAGTCGGATACGGACACGGAGGCACGGCACGAGCACGAGGCTCGTGCCACGAGCACGAGCGGCAAGAGTCAGTCGCATGGATTCGATCTTATCTCGAGGATGTGGTAGTAGTGAAACGTTGATTTATGTTATTATACCCAGTTATTATAGAAATAATAAATTGCAATGTTTATATAGGATGTATTATACGGAAGGCGTGAGTCGACTCTAACGATATTCTGAAACGATATACTATAAATTTTTTCATGTAAAAACACTGCATTTTCATCGTTTTTTTTTGGTTATATAGCGGGGAGAATTGGGAAAGAATAGAACGAATATTCCCGAAACACCAATTTATTTACTATGCCGATAATGAACGATTTGAACTTGTCTAATTATTCTGACGAGAACGGTGAGCCAGTTGATACGAAGAGAATCAAATCCAACGATAACGACGATTTTTGTAATGCTGCTTTGGAAGCAGAGAAAAACGATGTAGAGAATACAGATCTGACAAATAACGAACATGATGATGATGAGGAAGCATCGCTGGCGAATGACGAACGATGCGACGATGACAGTTTATTTCCATTTCCACCAGATACAGACGTTACAGATATGTTAGATGGAGTTAGATACAGCTCCTCATTTCCTACTATTACGGAACGATATTTTACTCCCTACTACAAATTGGATGTGCAAAGTCCGAAAGATGATATTTGCATTTTGATGCATAGCAATCGTATTTGTATGCTCACTCTTGCTCGCAGTCACACAGTATTTCAGGACAATCAACAGATAACCGCAGTCGATTTCAAAGTTAGCCATAAATTGGACAGAGTACGGAATAAAGTTTCTGGCAAGAGCAAGCACGGCGCTCAACCTTTGCAAACCAATTCGAACATTTGTATAATCACTTGCTCGGACGAGAAAACGTACACAATCAAGTGTTGCATAATTGGGAAATTAGTGGAGGTGAATGAGGCACTGTTGCAGAATCCGAAATTGTTGCTGGGCCCTCCGCACGAGGGAGGATACTTGGCTATAGTTCTACCAAACATAAAACTTTTAGAGAGAATGAAGGAATCTTTCTTGACGCAAGAACAATATGATTCGACGATGTTGGAGCGACGAAATCAGAATAATCAAATACAGAAATCGACTTAGGAACATTGAACGTTGGATAAATACTTGTTCGGTCGGACACTGAACGTAGTCCGAATTAAAATTACCTAAGTATGATGGTTATCTTCTGCGAGCCGATTCGTTCACACCTGTATCTCCAATGATCACTGATAAAGTAAATAATTTCAACAATACGACTATATATAATCTGAATTGGTTAACATTATTCATTTACAATAGCTTTATCTTTGGTGCACCGTTTACTTACTTTAGCTTCCCTTCCCTTTCTCTATAATAATTCTAACTCGCGTGCCATGAGCGATCGATTTAATTTTTAATTGTCGATAATTGCAACTGGTAAAATGATATAAATAACTGGTTGGTTCTAGTAGAAAAATCATATGACATTCATTATCAATTGTAAATTAAATCAATCGCTTATGACACGTGAGTAAAAAATCTAATTTTTTTTACTGGAGCCAGCCAGTTATTTATCGTTCTACGAGTTGCAAGTATTATTCGACGAACAGGTGAGTGAGTGAGATCAATAATTCTTCTCTTGTGCAGAGGTAGATTCTTCCTTCTGATTCTGAGCAGGTTATGTTATGTGTTTCTTGATGTTGATGTTTGCTGATGTCTGGCGAAAACTTGGATAATATCAGAGAGGAAATCTCTGCTTCGGCGGCGTGCATGTTCTAGAGGGCGATGGACATTTTCGTGCGGCACGAAGTCCCATAAGGCTGCCACTCATTAGTAATCTCTCTTCAGTGGTATTGTTTTATATATATGTTGCACTTAGATATTTCCTTTTCCAGGCATTTCTGATTGTGACCATTCTAAAGATTCTAAAATGTTTTAACGTCGACGTCAACTCTATTAGTGATTATAATGAAATAATATTATTGTGTTAAGGTTTAAAACATAAATACGTTTTAATAAGAAGTACTAACAGCTAGAATTAATAACCAATGATGAACATAAGTTTTCTAAGGCCTCAGTTTATGGAGCTAACTAGGTTACTAAAGCATGTTAGATATTTACATAATTTGAAAAGTTACAAAAATGTTTTATTACCATCGAAGTCAACGAACATATACGTTAGCTTTTATGATTCTTCATTTAAGCTGACTTGTGAAAGAAAATTTTCTACTGCAAATGCTTTATTCAAAAGTAAAGATCGCTATAAAGAGAAGAAAACAGTGGTGCATGTTGATCTGAATGAAATAGCAGATGTTGTAAAGGTGGATCGGATGATGACACAATTCAATGGTGCTATCGAAAGTTATAAAGAGCAAATGATACAACATCTAGGAGTACGTACAAGGGCAGGTTCCATAGAAGGCTTGACTGTAATGTTCGAGGATGAGGAATATAATCTTGAGGAACTTGTAGAGATTAGTCGAAAGCCTAATATGCTCATACTGAATGTATCTGCATTTCCACAAATAATTCCTAGTATTTTAGAGGCCCTTCGTAAATCTCAAATGAATTTAAATCCTCAGCAAGAAGGTACAACTATTTATATACCACTGCCAAAGTAAGTTTCAACTATTCATTGTATAATATATACAGTATATGTTTAAAGTATTAATTTTATCATGTAATTCGTTAGAGTTACTAAAGAACATAGAGAACAGTTAGCAAAAACTGCGAAACAATATTTTGTTAAATGCAAAGAGAAAATTAGTGATATAAGAAATGAGCACTATCGAGACCTAAAAAAGAAACAAGATTATCCAGAGGATTTAATTTTTAAAGCCGAAAACTATATAAATGCTCTGCAAAAAGAATATGTTCAAAAAGCAGAACAGTTATTGAAAGCAAAACAAAAAGAACTATTGGGAGAATCATAATTGTAATCGTCTTTTATGTATTAAAAATGCGTGACTTTTCATTTATTTTGGTATTAGAACAAATGTATATAATAAATCTCGCCAATTATTATCATTACTTTTGTATTTACATTTTCTTTTTATAATAATTTATACCTAGAAAGTGAAGCTTCCTTCCAGTATCACTTAGTAAAATCCTTAACATTTATTTCTACAAATAATTCATCATTGTGTAATGTATGAGAACTCATAGAAAAATAAATGTGAATGTATAAAAAAATAGAATAACTGTGATTTTAGGATTAACGATATGTATACATTTTACGTACTCTTCTATGAAATTTGTTAAAACAATATCGAGTAAAATATACGGTTGAAAATAATAAATGGAGATGAAGATGCGCAAAAATAAAAATTGGACCTCGTAAGAATGATGATGTTTCTTTATTACAATAATTTCTTTACGATATATAATGATATAAAGTTTTATAAGTTCTATGTCCACAACCGAATGGCAAATACAGTTTCTCGCAGCTATTTTATTTCGGCTATCGAACGGAATATTGTACAATTTCAAAAACTTATGCACATGCATCTATTGATTTTATACGAAATTGTAAAAGCGTCGGAGAGGAAATATGGAAAAACATAGTTTCTCCATTCTTTCTCATCTTTTTCCATCACAAATTATCGAAAACGTACGCGTACACGTTATTTCCGGTGCGCAAAAATCATTGATGCATTATATAATATATTACAGGCGAGAAGTCGATAATAACGTGAACGTTAATAACATAACATATTGTATGCGGGTCATGTAAATATTAGTACTTAGCTGTTCTGGGGAATTCTTTATTTTTAACACAGATAAGAATAAAATATTATTTTTTTATAATGTCATGGAGGGAACAATTCATGTTACGGAGCTAAAGGAGGTCAAATGAAAATTTATACTATATTAGTAATTTAAATAATGGATGCAGCCAAATTAGCAAGAATAGTCCGCATACAATGTGTCAACATAATGTACATAATACGTATCGGTTTATCATTGTTAATAGTAAAAAGCGTGCGTTACGCGTGCAGTGAGATTGAAAATCTTTACAATTTTACCGTTATCTGAAAATGTTTTAAGTTATGTTAATAAATTGTTTATTCTAGTTTGGTCCCACTTTATCACAGAAGCATCATTAATGATTTTACATATTTAGAACGTATCGCCACAAACGATGATGTCAATCTCCCGCACGCTCGCGCACGATTTTCTTCTAATTGTACACAATGTCTCATAGGATTCGTTTCCCATTATTATTTTTTTTTAACTTCGATCAGACATGAATTTTCGGTGCTTTTTTCTCACATTCTTTCCCTGTAAACAACATGGCACATCCTAATCCTATGATTACGCAATGTAGCATAATCGCGTATATTGATTCGCATACCGGCGCTGCGCCCAGTTTTATTTATGTTATTTCGTTTCATTTATTCTGCTTTTATGTCTATTCTCGAAAAGAAAAACAGAGACACAGGTTACTTAGTTTACTCAAGTACTTTCCGTTCTCTACATTCGTAGAATTGTTTTACGCGCTAAACTACTAATCTATATACAATAGACGCGTTCTTACTTAATAAAAGTCGAGCTATGCTTCTCTCCGCTCTGGCCAAGGCCAATTTCATTGGTCCCATACGTACAAAAGACGATGGCATAAAGAAAATAATAGTTGCAATCGTTGAACATTTAAGTAGAGCCGCCAGATGAGAATCTCGGGAAGGGACAAGCGTTTTTCTAGCAAACTTTTCTTCGTTGTCTTTTTAATTCTTTGATGAATCCCCGGATTCCGATTCCCGCGTTGCAACTCGCAAATTCTTTATTCAGGCAGTAAATTAGGACAATTCGTTGTACTGTCGTAGCTTACTGTGATATGTAGAAAGGAAAGTAAGGAGGAGTCGATAAGCGAGATTGAGATGTTTCTTGTTACATGTCCTCCGGGAGGAGTAGAACGTTTCTTATCACAGTCAACAGCGAACCGTACAGATGTTTCGCAGGTGCGAGGTGGTCTCAATTTCCTTAGATCTTTTATAATTTCTGAATGTCCGCACGCGCAATTTTTGACATTTCATCACGAGTCACATCCGAATTCATGCGAGATGCGAATCATTTTGTGTAAAAAAAATTTTTTTTAGAAAGTCACATGATCCACCTTTGCGCTTTTAAATCATTTTTTGTAATTTCGTACTACACACGGCTATAAAAAGAATCTCTAACAGATAAAGAAGGACATGACGAGTATAATATTCAAAGAGACAGTATTAAAAGTCGAGATAGAGACAGGAAAGAATTAATCGATTATTTATGCCATTTACTGCACGTCGTTCCTTAATCTTTTAATAGCCTTATAAAAATGGTAGACAGTACTTTCTTTATTTACAAGCCACGGTAAATGGCACATTAAGATTATCTTTGCACTACTTGTTCATCGTACATAAGCGCGCGATGAAAGAGTTCTTGATGATGTGACACGTTTTCCTCATCTCGATAGTCAGGTCGACGGGAAGTTAGCACAGTTCCGCGCGCTTTTTATTTTTTACGTCTAATCACAATCAAACACGGCACTCTCGAGCGAAGTGTCCTATAATTATAAGTACACTGCGTGAAGTTCCTTCGTAGCCGTACGAGGAGCCGGAACCGCGTCCGCGCTGATTCATGCTCATTCATTCGCTCCCCTCGTTTGATGTTGAGTCTCAAACGGCAGACGATCGTACGGTACCGGCTGTTCGATATCCACTTTAGAACCACAATAGAACACATTTCTCGTTTAGTATCCTTTTAGTAATCTCGAAATCAAACGGTAGTCTCGTTTTTCCTAAGAGGCTTCAGCGGCTGCAGTTCCCGTTCCAAGCGATCGAAATCATTGTAATACTCGTGATCGGATTCTTCCTCGGAACTTCTCTGCCTGACTTGGGATCCGAATGTTCCGTTCGTTAAAACTTTCTCCAGGTCTGGTGTCGGAATGCCCAAAGTTTGCGGAGTCAATGGTCCCTCGTCCTGTGACATTATATACTCCGGATTGTCTAGCGACGTTTTTCCTGAAATGGTCAGGAATTCAGGATATTTTCGATAACCATTGTTCATTCGTTTTGGTTCCATTTCTGGGGAAAAAAAGTGAAATGTGAGGTCGAATGAATATTTTGTAATCGAGTAGGATTTCGATTGTTTACCAGTTTTGTGCTTACCTGTAGGTTTCGCGTCCCCTATGAGATCCATGTATTGTGTTGTATTCGTCGGCAGTTGCGGCGATGGCATCAAATAATCATCTTCGTCTAATGGCAAGTCCAACTTCAAGTTACCCACTTGAGCCTGTTGATGCGCGGAATTCATTTCGCCGTCGAAACAATCATCCGTAACATCGCAGTCTGCACAAATAATAATCCATTATAATTTCACTTATTCGCCCTTATATTTACTTTTTATTACAAACATTTTCTATGAGAATTATAAAGATATGATTTGAACGTACCTTTGACACCGATCATTTTCAACGGGTCCGAGCAGTATCTCGACGCAGTAGTGTCCGATCCCAAGACATGTCCGCAATGGCCGTTCGGAGGCGAGAAATGCGCATGTTGACCAGAATTTCCTGGTTCATGCGATGGATTTCCGTTTCTGTGATTTGCACCGTACCTCAACAGTTCTCTATCCCAGTTCTGTTGATTCTGGGGCGTTGGAGAATCGGCGGCTAAAGGTTTGCCGTTCGGCCAGCAAGTCTTCACGGGCGTGTTTGGCGGAGAACCGGACGTACTCGATGCTGAAAGTCCCGGCGGAAGTGGAGCTCTCGATTTCGGTTGAAGATACTCGTCAGCGTCTACCAAAGCTTCCGGACCATCCATGGCTGACGCGAGATTCCGTATCATCTCTTTTTCGTCCTGAATACAAAGAAACTTATAACATTATTATTGTCATCACAGTGTAAATTAATTAAAAAACGTTTGTTCTATTAAAATTTAGCAGTATATATTTCGTAAATGTATTTCACCTACCTGCAATGTATACGAAGGTAGCCTCATGTATTTGTCGCCTTTAATGGCAAGATATCGGCCAGGATCTCTGGACATCTTCGCGAAGTCTTCTGCCAGCTCTTTGAAGCTAGGCCTGGACTCGGCGTCCAACATCCAACATTTGATCATGATCATGTACACGTCGATCGTGCAGATCGTCGGCTGCGGTAATCTTTCGCCTTTCTCCAACAATTCTGGTACGTTTCGAGCGGGTACATTCTCATACGGTCTACCACCGTACGTAAGGACCTCCCATATGGTCACTCCGAAGGCCCAAACATCTGACTTATGGGTGAATACTCGATGTTGGATGCATTCCAGAGCTAGCCATTTGATAGGCATTTTGCCACCGGCTGCCTTGTACTGTTCTTCGTTTATGTCCAAAAGTTTAGCTAAACCAAAGTCAGTGATTTTAACGCAATTAGGCGTCTGAACGAGAACGTTTCGGGCGGCGAGATCACGATGAACCAATCTCCTCTCTTCCAAATAAGACATTCCTCTGGCGATTTGCGTGCACCAATTTAACAGGGCTTTCGAGCCAATCTTGTCCTTGAATCGTCGAACAAAGTCCAGCAGGCAACCCAGTGGCATCAGTTGGGTTACAAGCATCATTTGCGACGTCATACAAACAGCCAGTAACTGAAGCAGGTTCGGATGTTCCACGCTGGCCATGATGTACGCCTCGTCGAGGAATTCCTTCGACGTATTCGCTCCTGTCCCATCGTGCAGAACTTTTATAGCTACTGGTATTTTCACGTTCTCCCCTTCTGGTACCCAAACACCTTTGTAAACGTTTCCGAAAGCTCCGTAACCCAAAATTCCGCCCTTCCTCATCTCTTCCTCCTTGATAATGCGTAACTTCGCTAAATTCGGTTTCACGCCTGTCGGTCGAAGAGGCTCATTGTCGTCTAAACCTGTCAGCGCCATCGTCATCTTCACCGTGTTCTCCTTTGCCTTTGCTCGCACGCGCCAGAAATATACAATTACTCCTGCCACCAAGAGAAAGAGAAAAGAGAACACAGCGACGCCCGCTAAGATCGTCGGTTGAAGTTCGTTTTCTATTTGGTATCCAAGGCCGACTGTTTGCACCGAACAATAGGGCTCGCTATCCGGTGGGAAGATTTTGTGCGGGTACTCGGGTGGACATGTTTCCGTGCAGTTGAAGGACGTATTATTCCCATCCGTATCTTCATCCTGAGATAAGAAACAGTTTATACGTACATATCTACATTACAATTACTTGATGAGAACGACGTTCGGAGAAGAATACGCTACGTACAATAGAGATCTTGTAGTTTCGACATTTGTAGCACATGTTCGGACCCGGTCCGAAGCAGCCGCGGCACTCGCTAAAGCACGGTATACACAATTGAGTGTCAGCGTCTGCAAAGTGATCCGCGGGACACTCATCTTCGCACTGTTCACCCCTTTTGTATTTTGTACACTCTTGGCACACGTGCTCGTGGAAACCGTATCCCGTACATTTCTTGCAGCGAGAGTGACATTTGCGGCAAACGGCCTTCCCCGCCAGAGGCTTCAGCGCTCCTTGCTCTTGAGGACTTACCCACTCGTAATAATGTCCTGTAATATGAAGAAGAAACGTAATGCATTATTGAAACATTGAATTTTATTGCGAAGACACTGAACACCGTTACCAGTTATGAAGCGATTGAATTACAATTTCAAATTCGCACTCATGCTAAAATTTCAATCTAATAAAACGTTGATCGTTATCCGAAAGAAGTAAATGGTGGAGATCACCTACCGTCGGGACAGGATTCTCTTTTTTGCAGACATCCTTCAGGTACATGGTCGTTCATAATCGCTTTATCGCAGCTGTGGCATCCATTAGGGCCGATGTTGTTCTCAGGTCCCTCGCAGCCACCCACGCAGTTCTCGTGACAATCTTTGCATTGACCGTTATCGTTATACTTCGAGGACGGACACTCTGGAACGCAGAACGGACCGTCCCGCGCGTGTTTGCATTTAGTGCAATGCTCCGCGTTTGGACCCGTACAAGTACCGTCGCATTCCTCGTGGCACAACTTGCAAGTCTTCTCGTCCGCCTGATAAATTCTAAAAAACGATTCGACACGATTATTTTCTCTTTTCATGGCGAATGTACACAGCGACGAGAGCAGAGCGCGAAACTAAGGCGAGCTAAATCTGTCTTATTTGCAGTTTACCTTCGATCCACAATCTGAGGTAGGCAAATTTAACATACAGAAGTAACGCGTGTTATTTACGTTACGGTTCAGTTATGGCAACTAAGCGAGAGCTGATACTTACCCTGGCGCGGTGCAGTCCTGGAGGCAGTCGTTCCCTAAAATGAAGTTCTTGCAGGATAAACATTGCGCCGGGCCGGGTCCCCAACAACCTTCGTCGGAGCATTGCTCGTCGCATACCAGTCCATCTTTTACTACGATCATACAAAAAGATTCGTGTATGATCCAAACATTGAATGTACACAGAAGAGCATAACGATAGAATAGAAGAATATGACACTTACTGCATTCGCTCTCGTTCCGATTATTCGACAACAAGCTCTCGTGCTCCGACGATTTTTTAATTCTGCTCCAGTTTATACTCTGCGCGTAACACAAATTCTTGTTCTCCAAAATGGCTATCGACCCAGAGTAAATCTTCTTCAGGGAACTGAGTCCGAACGAGACCAACGACGTTTTAACAATGTATAATGAGGCAAAGTATTCCGTTAGCGTTCTCCCGCCTATCACCTCCAAATTCCGGAAGTACGACAAATTCTTGAAGTCTTTGTGGTCACCCTGAATATTCAGAAACCCCGTGATCTCCTTCAGCGTGCTGAATACTTCCAATTTGTCCGGATGCATTTTCTCGTATCGTTTTCCGAAACTGAAATTCGGATAGACGTGCTGGAACCCTTGAAAGCTTTGATCCAAGATCGTGATCGAACCCTCGATGATCGTGCAGTCGTTGAAGCTGTCGATGTTGCCGGAGTGCACTTTCTCCACGCCTTTACAGGTCTTCGGACAGGGCCCGTCGCAGGGGACGCATTCGCCGTTCAACGCTTTTTTCTTCGGCGGACAGGATCTGACGCAAGCCCCGTTGTCTTTTAGAAGATGCTCGGGACATCTTCTCACGCAGGTTGCCCCGTACGCGTACTTCCCCTCTGGATTAGCCTCCCACGAATACGTCGTAGGATTGTACCTGAAACGATCGTAATCCTTGCGGTGCCTGGATCGTAAAGCTCGAGGAAGTTTCAAACTTCCACTGTTCAATTCCGGGGAACATCGACATCGGTAAAAAGTTAAGATTTATCGATAATAAGATACCCACACTACACGCTTTACGATGTTCGAAGCGTGAGGTAAGTTCGTGTAACATGCGATCAACTTTGACCATTCTCTGTATTTTGACTTTTTGATTGCTCATTGAGTTATATCACTACGACCCATCGAACGTTATATCATTGGCGTTCAATTTTATTATAGAATTATAGTTTTGGAAAAAATATGATTCAATACTGTGTGTACGTATGCAAATTATGAATATTTTCAATTGCAAAAAGCAGACAGAAGTATTATCGATGTAGTATCAAGTTTATTTTCAGCGAAAACTCAACACGATGTTTCTTACATGTATAACGAGATACGGATTGGTCTACTTACTTTTGCATGGGCGGACATTCCTGCGTGCACACACCATCGTCGAAAAAGTTCTTACAGGCGATGCAGTCGCTCTGTTTCGGACCCGTGCAGCCACCGGCGCAAAAAAGATGGCAACACTCCCGTGGATTGGGCCCGAAGCACCTGCCCTGCCAGCATTGGGGCGAACAGTTCGTCTTCGAATACTTCTGACAGTTCTCAGGCCCGTCGCCCCAGCATCCTTGCTCGCAGCTCTTATCGCACGGTGGACAGGCCCGTTCCGGGGACGTGAAATTGTACACGTAAAGGTACGTACCGCGAGGGCTCGTGATTATTTCGTCCCAGTTGATCGTACGTATGTGGCACAGGTTGTAGTTGTTGTACATGCCCACGCTTCCGTTGAGGATATCTGGCGACGACACCGGTGATTTATTCACGGTGAATTTCAACGTTACAATAGAAACTGGCAAGATTTTATTGAAATTCCGGTTCCACGCAATATTTCAAACTGACGACTTCAACATTGAATATTCTCCATCAATTCGATACTGTTTCTTTGTAATCACGTTAATGTATTACTTGGAACGAATATATTTCTTCTTTTTTAACTTTAAAAATTATCGAATTAACCGAAGATAGATTCGTTTACCTCTAAGGGCAGGCATCTCCAGGTTCTGCATCTGACACATGGTGACGAACAGGGCGAACTCCTCTTCATGAATGTTGAGTTTGAACAGTGTCCTGCCGCGTATGATCTGCAACCTCGGCAGAACGATCTTCTTGACGTCCACGTGGCTGATGAGCACGTAACCGGTGACCTCCCTAATATACTGGAGGAAGCTGAGGTCGAATGTCTCGTTCTGGAGCCATGTGATCTCCAGGTTGCCATCGACGTAAGTACAGTTGGTGTACCGGTCTCGAAGATTCCGGAAGTGATGTTGCTTGTTAGACGGAACAGAGAGGCGGCCATTGGTTCCGATACAAACTATAACAGAAATTTAAGAAATCCGTACAAACATCTGTTTTTTTTCTAAAAAAAATTATAAGAACAAGATGCAACATGCGTACAGTAAATTTTATGGTATTTGTAATTTTCAAATATATTCTAATTCTGCAATCGAAGTAATTGATATTCGTGAATTCGTGTAAGTACATAGATCAGGCGTCTAGCATTTACGAAACATTCTTAGGTGGTTAAAAGGCTAACAACCTCTGTCTTTCGCCGTGTGTACGCGGACAGAGACGATAATCAAATGTCATTGTTTGAGGAGCAAGTACAGTACGTACTGTGTAGAATGCAATGAAGCTTAGCCTGTCTCAACGCGGTAAAACTATGAATCCAGCTGCGGTGACATTTCGTAAATGACTTTATGAGGTACAGACTGGTCACACGACTTCTGTACGTCGACGACTCTCTTCGTTTGTCAGAATCACCGAAGTGGAACGGGTTAACGTTGCCACCCACATTGTCGAAAGCGCTTCTCCTGATCTATAGATAGCTCTTTAAACTTTGAAAACATGCCTGGCCGGTGGGCGAACTACTTCCCATAATACGCGAGTACACGCGTCTGATTTCAGGATTGCGCAATCACGGTATTTATCATCAAGGGCTGCGCGACGAAAAACATTTCATATGACCATGTTTTGTGTTCGTAATAATGTAGCTGCTATGTAACTGCTAGTATGCTATATGGTCATTCAATTTAGAGAAACATCATTGTCCTAAGTTAGTTAGAAAGTTTAATATATAAGATGTTCGATGTACTCAGCCCCAGATCGAACCTTAGCTCGAATTTAAAAAATTATTCAATTTTAAATAGTGAGTGTTCAGTTTTGTTCTTAACTGAACATACATATACCTTTCATGATACTGATAGGACTTCCATGATAGGAAGAGATTCTGTCCCGAACGAGTAAGGGAGTGTAAAGGTCCAAATGTCTTTATATGTTAGACGCTTGGTTCTGATATTGATCAAAGATGATTATAAACAAATCAAACAAAAAAAAGATGATTATAAACAAATCAAACAAAAAAAAGATGATTATAAACAAATGAATTCATGTGAACTACGCCGTTGTAGGAATCCTAGTCTTATGTAGAGACAAAGTATTGGAAGGATAATTGCAACGGGGAAACTGATTTTAATGACACGCCTTCAGTCTTCAGGATGAACACCGCTCTTTTAATATCCCAAATCCGTTTTTTGAATGCTTCATAATAACATTTAATACAGTACGAATACCTTTCAAGCCGACCCACCAAAAAAACTTAATAAGCCCAATTATAATTCGCGCCATCGATCGCACGGTCCAGATCGGCTCAATATCATTCATAACTTAGTTAATAACCGGAACATGCGTTCGGCATCGGGTCGTCCCGGCTCACGCCCAGAATAAAAACCATCATCGATGATCGACGGACGTCCAAACGCAATTCTCTCTACCCGTCCGAACTTCTTCCTCTGTTTACGTCTTTGTCTGGACACGGAGCGGGTCCCGGTGCCAGCCAGCAGCAAATCCGGGAGCAGGATCATCGCCCGCGTCGCGGCGCATAGTCGCACGTACCGGCCTCGTCTTCGGGAATTCGGTTTTGCCGGGTAACGCAAACGAACGCGACGCTGCGTTCCAGCAGCGGTCTTAATCTGGCCGGCCGATCGGAATCATGCGAAAATAATTGCGCAACGACATCCTTCTTGCGCGGCTCGGCGCGCAAAAGAAGATCCCTGGACGTCGCGTCGCGTCGTGGATACGATGCGTCATCGGTGGGAGCCGAAGAGGAGGAGAAGCGTCGTTGGAACAAATACAATCGGGGTACCGGGTCCCCGGTATTTCGTATCGACCAGATGCTGCGACGAGGAAGACGAATGCAGAACGTACGCCGGTACACAGTACGCAGGCCCACGGGCGCCACGAACCTCGAGAATGCGGATCGACCGAGGATCTGCATCGCTCCGGGATTCTCGCGAGGCCGATACCAACATACATACATACTCACGCAGCGGTGCGGCGAATCCTTCGGGCATATCTTTTGCGCTTTGATCGCCGGGGAGATTAATGTCCTAATCGTTAGCCGAGATAAGAAACGGTAGGGGTTTTTTGCGCCACGGGTCTATCCCTTGATAGCGACGTCGCGAGGTATGTTACCCAGAGAAAGAAGTTCATTAGAGTTATTAAATTTATCGGCGTCCGCTGACGCTAGCCTGCTGTGCTGCGTTTAACGGCTTGTTAGTGGACGTTGCTGAATGCCACGCTGGATGTTAACCGAAATTCCTTCACTGGAATGTATAGTTTCTAAGTCCGAACTTCTGAATATGCTATTTGTATTTGATCTATTTTACAACGTACGATTACGTATTAGTACTAATTGATTCAGTTCATTACATTGTCCTTGATTATTAAGTTTATTATAAGCAATATTTACATGAGTACTGAACATGAAACAGATACAAATTGGGCGTCATTTCAATATATAAATATAATTATCCCCTGAAATATTTGTGCTTTGCAAAAGTCGTTTAGTTCAGACTTGTTCTGATTCGAAGGGACATAATTAGTTTTATGGACGTTATATTATTAGTGGACTTGTAAAGGACATATGCATATGTCAAAAAGTTATATTGCATAGCAATAAGACAATTTAATTGAAGAAGGAAAAAAGAGAGGGAAATGATTGAGAGTCGCGTTTAGTCGGGGGAGAAAAATGGTACATAGTTGGATCGGACGAGGTCGACCGGGTAACACGTTCTCTGGTTACTTTTTGGACCCACAGGCACGAAGAAATTCATCGGTCGAATCTCGGGGGCCCCATGGCGTGGCTAGCGCGCGGCTGCGGAAACATGGCAATTATCCCCGACAACGGGGTTACGAAAATTACCGGGCGATCCCCTTGGACCTGGATTAAGATTCACAACACCCAAATTTACGATACTCGTACGCTTCTGAAAGACAATAGCGACACGTATCGATTACGGAGTCGAGGGTGCGAATTTCCCCTTTGCTCGCCAATTATCTTCGCCGCGTTCTAGGAATCTCTGGATTGGGGTGCCGGATTTCGCGCATCGCGTCAACAGCAATTTTACATCAACGTATATCCAAGTGTAGGTAATAAAATATTATAATTTTTTCATAGTAAAACGTTGTACTGTTATGTTAAATCGTGTAAGTACCAATTGTAAGTACGAGTTTTAAACACGAATTATTTAAAGCACGTTTTTGTTTGTTTATTAAATCATTAAATGAAAGGTTGGTCGATATTCCGGCAAATTGCTGCGGCGTTTTCTGTACAAAGCAGGTAATCGAGGACGAGAATGTGAGAATCAGGTATAGCGGGTAATTTAGGGACAGTCACGATTTATTATTATTTTCTTATTATAATACCCGATCGTAATTTACTCGGTGGTGTGAAATTGAGTTATTTCCAAGAATTTAAAGAGGAACAGGTAACGCGCAATGTATAATTTGTGGAGACTGTTTAATTCCCTGGGGTATTAAAAAATACACTGTTCTACAATTGATATCTATACTTTACATGTTAAAACAGTTGTCTCCCTATTATATTAGTCAAGATAAGGTCCAAAAATAAACAGTTAGAAAGTACAAGACTTCTACATTAAAAATCGATGAATTTTTTGAAAAACATAAATTTTTGTAATATTTTGTAATACGATAAAATAAGTATTTTCGAAAAGAATTAAATTTTCACATCTAGTATGAATGCCAATGATGAGAGAAGATGTCGTCAAAAAGCACAGGCATCAATGAGTACAAAAGACGAAAGGCAGAGGGAAAGCAGGTGACGTAATGCGGTGCGTGGCTGGCGGCCGCCAAAATCGAAATCCCGCGGCGAACGTTTCTTTTGCGAGAGCGCGTACCCCGGATCAAGAGCGTTGTTCTGGTGGCGCGGCTCGACCACCTCCTAGGAGAAGGCGAGCGTAGATTTTTATGCGCCACTTTAGGGCGCCGTTAAAGGGCCGAAAGTAATACGAAATAACCGCACGCCGACGGTCGGCGGCGGCGGCGCCGTTTATTTCGCCTCGTAAACATCGATACACGCTGCGAGGCCTGTTCTTCTGGATTCCTCCCCGTCGTGCTGATTCGAGATCCCTCGGTGCACGCCGGCCCTCGGGCCAATCTATTCCCGACGGAATAAACACCGGGTATCGTAAACGCGCGAAATAACTATCGGCTCGCCTGTACTTTCCACGGGGAAGAGGATCGGTGCTGTGGTGAGAAGAGACGAGGCAAAAGAGGGACGGCCGGTTGAACTGGAAGCTCGAAGGGGAAACAATAATTTAGGGAGAACGCGGCTGGACCTGGGCGAGGGACCGAACGCCGAGGAACAATGGCCTTCTTCCACCTCGAAGGTGAGGCCCGTCGTACCGCACCGAGACACTGATTCTCTAATAAAAGTCATCGTGTAAACACGAGTTTGCCATCCTCCGGCTTCGCTCGGCCAAGGAAACGTTACGAACGTTGACTCCTCGTACAGAGTGGTGGTTGGATTAAGAATTTGTCGCCGTTTCATTCGACTCTCTGTCATGTATTGTCGAGAATTAATGACAAAGAAAAATGTTTTTTGTTACTTATGCGAGTGAACCACGTTTTTGTATGAGGTTAAAGATTTCTCGAATATACAATTGATGGAAACTGAAAAAGTAGAGAGAGAGATATTGCACTTTCGACAGAAACGAGATTTAGTGATGTAGAGTTTGCGATATTATTTGGTAAAAGAAAGGAAAGGAATGTTGATTTTTATTTTTGATATAGACAATTTATAAATCTTTATTGGTTACAAAGATTAATATTACTACCAAGATATTTAGGAATCTATAAATTGACATTAACGGTAAGTACAATAAAGCAGTCAGGTTTTATGGAGCGTGATTGCAATTCCGTTTACAATGGCAAGACGAATTGTAATTTATTACGTGACGACATATTAAAACGAAGCTTTCATAAAAACAAATAACCGGATTAGAAAAAGAA